CTCTCTACTGTCCTTCAGCTTTTGGACAAGGAGGTCGATGCCAGCATTCTGAATGTGAGTGTGGGGATGCTTGTTCATATATACGTTTTTTTTTCACTATTCCTCCATTTTTTAGCTCCATTCTCCCCTCCTACTTTCCATTTTCCCTGCTGCCTCCCAGATTCAGAGGCTCCTGGGGCTCTGCATGCAGGCCGGCCTCTCCTCATCACAGTCGCCTCTGCCACCTAGGCTGTGATTTCTTCTGCTCTATTTGTGAACATTCTTCCATCTGCTTTTAGAAATTTGTTAAAATTATTTAACAGATACCCCCCGACACACTCCTGTTTTCTTGGTGGTTGTATCTTCTCTTATTCCTTCAGTATCTTTTTGTTGGAATTTTGGGAAGAAGGGAAGAAAAACTTGTATACTCAGTCTGCCATCTTGAACCAAAAATCTAAAGTATTATTTGTACTATTAGAAAACTAGAGACAATCTAAACATCCCTCAATAGGGAAATCCTTAAATAAATTCTATTACATCTGTTGTATGGAATATTCTGCATTCAAACAAATAATGAATTAGCTTTATATGCATTGATATGAAAAGATATCATGATATAATATTAAAATAAAGAAGCAAATTGCAAAAAGTGTGTATAGTAACATCAATTTTAGAAAACATATATTTATTTTTACTTCCATAAATGACCAGAAGATACATACTGAACCGTTACGAGTGGTCATTGATCTCTCTTTACTCTTGAAGGCAGTGGATCATGCATGGAGTTGGCACGAAGAAGGAATTTCATCTTTTTGCTCTATATCATCTGTATTCAAAATTTTTACAATGCATATGAAAAAATCTTTGGGATTCATTGTTATACAAATGTAAGACATCATATAATCTAAATACCCCAATCTTTCCTATATAGAAAGCTGCTCAACTAATAAATTAAATAAAGGTTTGCAAATTACAGATGATTCATGATACTTGATTTTTAAAATGCTGACCATTATTATTGTTGTTTAAAACTTTCAGGAAAACATGCTTAAAAGTAAAGGTATTGCCAGTTTATTTTTAAAAGCAAATAGACCTTTAAAAATCCCTTCCATGTCTAAGGCTCTATGACAATGTAACATGTTTGGCAGGTAGAACATGTCTTGTAACATCAATTTTTGCCTGGCATGCTTTTATGTCTGATTTCTTAACTCTCACATAATGACATTAGTAAGCTGAGCTGACTCAACTATGCCAAACTTTGATATTTCAGCTACAATAATTTTACAACATCTTATTATTAAGGAAGAACCAAGTAATATAAAATGTCAACCATCTAAATAAAATTAGATTTAACTTTTTATTTTCAAAGAGCAGGGTTCAGAATAAATCACCTGCAAAAGAGGAATACATAGCCTACAACAGATACAGGGGTTCCAAAGTCTTTTCCATTAACAAAAAAAAAGAGATCTAAGAGTCTATAATCTACCAACTAGTTTATATTTGGAGCACATGAACAAATTCAAATAAACTCCAGTAAGTGGAGCTCAATGGTACAAAATTTCATTGGTTTCCAATCTAAAATGAGATGAATAATCCTATCTCCTGAAATCTGCGCACCATTAAATGTCATGGTTTCTCCAGCTTTGCTCAGAGAAATGGGAAGCACCATGAAGTGCTGAGTTGGCCTGTCCCCCCAGCTCCACGTGGGCCAGTCCCCCTGTGAGTTACAGCACGGCCAGGGCCAGAACTCAGGCCATCAGAAACTGAGTCTAGCAGGTCCAGTTCTTGATGACCAAATCAAATTAAGCCATAAACTCAGAGTCGGGTTGAATGCACTGTCACTCTTTACATATTAGCCAAGGTTTTTGGTATACGTGCCTCCTTCTTCTATGTAGTTTTTGATTTTTAAATTTCAATTTTCACATCCTAACTCTATAATTACACCTTTAGTAAATACCTCCAAATCTTTTTTAAAGCAAGCGAAGTAAAGAATGTCCAATTTTAAAAGTCAGAAGACAATGCATGGAAAAAATGCTTGGAGACTGAAGTACTATACATATAGCATGATTACTATTATTGCCTAAGTGAGTAGCCTAGAGTAAATCATTTTAATAATGAAGCTTTTAAAAAACCTTTTAAAATGAGATGATTAAATCATCTTCTCCAGCACTAATAATACAAGTTCTGTTTTCACAGAAATCTACTTTCTATCTCTATCAAATGTGGAAGTGTGGACAGTCAGTCATTATAAAATACCAAGTATTTCACAAGGAAAGTTTGAGTTGCATTACAAATAACTAAAGGTAATGCTGGAAAACAATAGGGCAACTGAAAAAACCTGTTCAAGTTGTGCATTTTTTGAAAGCAATGATACAAATTTGAACTATTCACTTCTTCTATATTGTCTCTTCTGTAGAAGAGATGTAGGCAAACAGCCAAATCAATTTTGTGCATCAAGTCAAATTTTTATACAAAATACAGTTTACGTAGCCAGAAATCACAAGGTAAGAAAACTGAAACCTTCATCATTTCTTGGAAAATTGTGGAGAAACCCACCACATATCTCTTTGAAAAATGTTTCAATGTTTGAAAATGTGTAATGTAAAAGATAGTCGTTGGGCGGTTCAAAAACAGCTAGACAGACCTGTGCTCTAATGGCTTATACATCATCTCGAGTAATCCTATGCAATTTAACTTTTAAAATATACAGACTTAACAGAACAGGAGATTTAGCAGGATAAGTGGGATACGTAAAGAGAACACCTGTGATGAGAACAAGACCATCCCAACCACTGTATACTTTAAAAGAGTGAATTTTATGGTATGTGAATTATATCTCAATAAAAAAAGGAAAAAAGAAGGAAAAAAAGAGCATCCCAGGTGATGCTACGTCCCAAGTGAAGCTTCAGTGTTACAGACAGAAGCTCCTATTCATCACTTCTGGAACACCCTTTCACTATAGCCTGCTCTTCTGTTTCCACTCTCCCACCTTTGCCCACGTGGCCTCATGTAATATTGCCACGGACTCTGGATTTCTCATGCACCCCACTGGTTGCTGGGCACAGAAAGTTGACCTTGACTTTCTGAATCACCCTCCCACTGACTCTGGGTACTTCCCTTCACCTCTGCCACCTCTTCATCTCTTTTTAGGGGGAGGGGGAATTTTGATTCCATAAAGCTTTGACATACTGACAAGTTTTCTGAGACAAAACAAAGGGAATGAACATTTGTCAATTGCTAATAAGTGCCAGGGTCTCTGTTGGGTCCTGAATATCTGTTATCCTATTGATTCTCATGAAAATACTTATAAGGTCAAGATTCTTATCCCATACTCTAGATGAAAACACTGAGGCTCTGAGAGCAGTTTCCATCCGGTGGACATTCACCTGGGATAACTTATTTTACCTCCAGAGGGCACAGCTTACAAACCACTTACTGAATAGGACTAATTCGAGCCAGGGAAAATTTACTAAAAACAACACAATGCTCATATAAAGTGGCATTGTTTGCCGGTGCATTTGGACACAATCACACTTCAAATAATCCCCTGAAGAATGTTTTCCATTCTAGGAGATAGGATGTTTATGGAAATGGGATCTCCTAATAGTACAAAAGAAAGGAGGAAACACACAAAGACTATTTTTTGCAAATAAAAATAACACACAAACCACTCGCTGGGGAACTAGGCTTATTGCCTCTATGGTGGCTCCTGGGTTTGCCAGAGCACACGTAACAGCTTTCCTCTTGAATTGGGTTTGTCTTAGAGTTCCATCTGCCATCCCTTTCTCCTCCCACCAATAAAACCAAGTGAAGCTAATTTTGCTTGCTTTTGACTGGGCAGAGAAGGAAAAGCTGCAAAATCTGGAGTTCCTGGGTCTGGAGTTACCTTCCGGGGTAATCCTGATACTTGAAATTTGCAAAATTAATGATCCCTCAACTGCTGCAGCCACTGACTGCTGTCTGGCTAATGGTGTACCAGAACTCGGGCTCTAGAACTGCCCATGGGTAACATCTCTTGGTAGACTACCATGCTTGGAGATAGACTGCCTGGGTTTGAATCCCCACTTCACCTTTTCCTTGCTGTGTGAACTTGGCAAGTTACATAATCTCCCTGTGCCTGTTTCCTTAGGTATAAAATGGGGATGGAAACAGCTCCTATCCCCTAGGACTGTTGAGAGCGTTCAATGATTTAATGCATGTAAAGCACTAAGAATAGTGCCCGGCACACAGTCTGTGCAACTTAAGTTTCTGTTAAATAAATAATTAACAAATAAAAATGACTACTACAGTTCACTAAATGACTTTAAGAAATTGCTTTCCCTATTTATTTTGTTAACTGATTTGTACATGCTTACATGAATTAGAAGTTGGTAAAAATTAATTTGTGTGACTCAATTTGCTTTGCATAAAATGCAATCAGCCAGAAACCCAGAAGGAAGTATCAACAAAGATCTCTTTTTGCAGGAAAATGGGTTAAAAATGGCCTCTCAGTATTGATGACAGTGCCCAAAATGATTGCTGAGGGGTTCTGCAGGTGTTCAGAAGATCCACACATACTATACACATACTGTTGCCCCAGGCAGATGAAGCAGAAAGAAGAGAAAAATGGCTTTTGCTTTAGAGCCCCAGGGACTGAAGGTCCAGACAGGATCATCAACCCCTGGCCACCTCAAACTCCAACAGAACAAAGACTGGCAGATCTCTTGGTTTTTCAAAGAGCCTCCCCCACCTCAGAGAAACAATTTAGCTCGTTAGCAATTTCATAACCATGTTTCACTTGGAAGAAACAAAGGCTGGCTTAAATGTGTAGATATTAAACATTTACTTGCCAGAAGGACTTTTTTTTACTTTCTCCACCCAAGCTTCTCATTTCAAGGCAGAGGCCAGGTGGTGCTCTGACATTCCCCAGTGGCACCTTCTATGTGTCCAAGGACCTCTGGACCCTACTGTGTCACGATCCTGGAAGGAATAAATCATCTGGTAGCGACAGATGGTTTCCTCTGGAAAAAGACCAAGCTTACCCAAATAGTTGTTGCTCTTGTACATCTCGGTGATGTTGATTTTTGTGGCTCCTTGGGGAATCTCAACAACTCGGTGGTAGCCCAGGCTGGTGAGGGCATGCTTAAACACGCCTGACACAACCTGACAGCCCGTGTTATCGCCTCCGCACACCCCACATTTGTCCACGACTTTGTCGGAGCCTAGGTAGTCGTCACAGCCAATGCTCTGCAAAGAGGTGGAAAACAAAAGACTCTTGTAGCATATATCAGGAGCAGCAGGGGAAGAAAGGGAGAGGGGACAACTGAAGATCTACCGGTGGGACTTGAACTGACCTTCCTCCGGCCCCCATTCAGCTCCGGCAGATGAGCAAATTCATTCTTCCTTTCACTCAACAGATATTCATGGAACACTTACTCTAGGCAAGGAATTTGTTTTATAGGTATGCGTGAAACGTACATTCTAGAGGCGGGATGGGGGCCACAGACAGTAAGCAAGACAAGATACATAAAAGAGAGTGTGCTTGGTGGTGGTAAAGGATCAGGAGGAAAATAATGTAGAGGAAAGGAATAGAGAGGGTGTGGGGCTGGAAATGTATTTACATAGCTTGGACAGTGAAGTTGTCCTGCAAATCCATCCCTCTGTTGGACTCTGAGAGAGGAGAGGCTGGACCGTGCTGGCATTTTTACATCAAGAAGTTCTTTGGGACCATGATAAGTACCGTACCTAAAACTAGGGTTTGTCCCTAGGTCTTCTGTTCTAAACAACAGATGATACAAACACTTAGCAAAGTAATACCCCTTCCCCCGAGTAGTGTTCTCAGTTGCAGGTTCTTAGGAAATTAAATCAAATTGGGTGAGATTTGGGTCCCTACTAGTCACTGTGGCCCTGAAGTCCTGAGTAGCAGGACTTTTGTTGGCTCCCCCAAAGCCTTTTTCCCAGGGCAGAAGGGTGCAGGGAAGCAAGGGCCAGAAACATCAGCGAACTGGATGATATGCGTCTAACTAATGGAGTGTTCTTTGTACAGGCAGTCTCATCAGTGTTTAAAGGAACTCTGACCTTCCTGCATTTCCTCCCCAAAAGAATCTTCCCATTACTCATTCCAATATCTTTTTGCTTTATCTTCCCTCTCCCTAATCATGTTTCTCTTGGGGCAATTAAACCTTAAACAGAATGGAATGATCTTCATGCAATCCTTTTCCACTTCTGGAGTTGATTCCGTAGGACTTACAATCGTGTTTCCTGAACCTAAAGTTGGAACATGTGGTCTGAGCAAAGAATTCTGTCGCATTTCCATGGGCAGATGGAAGTGAGCGGATTGTAGTTTGGACAAGGAAATATTGGATGACAGGATTATTTCACTGGGTTATGGGGATAGGAAATGGTATTTGAAGTCAGAATGGTATTCTAAAACTTGAGACACATGTTTGCTGAATCACAGGCTTGTGTTGGTTCTTGAATTCTAAGAGCAATTGTCAGACCACATCTCAGGGGGCAAAGTGGCCAGCAAACCACTCAGAAGTCCACTTTTGATTTTGTTAAACAATCCTGGGTCTGTTCATGTGAGTCCTACAGGTCAAATCCTACAGGCAAACTCACATCAGAAGGTGTTCATTCTTTCTCCTCCAACTTCACATTTGACTGACATCTTTCTGCAGGTACTATAAGTCTGCATTATTACTTCCATATTCCTGAGTGCACATTAGTCCGTCAATAATAAATGGTCTCTTCACAAATAGCTTCTCTGTAAAACATTATTTCTGACAATAACAGAACATCATCTCAGTATGTTCATCCACATCCAATTAGCCTTTCAAAATGCCATGTTTGCTATATATTTCTCCTTCCTCAAATATTTCTTCCCCCTGCTCCATGCACATTTTAGCAGAAAAGTAAGGAAAATGTTTTCCATGCATGATTTCCACCCTCCCCCCCAACCTAGTTCTCTTTTGCTTTGAAACAACAACAACAAAAATGCCACCACTAACAGAGATTTGGGAAAGTAGATCCCATGAGATCCTAACTGAATTAAGGAGATGCCCATGGTTGTCAGTGATGGGGAAGACGGACAGAGAAGTTGATCAGCCCTCACGTCCTGCCCTGTCTGGCAATATCTCACCCTCCCCCCTTTCCCTACTGGCTCCCCCAGGACGCAACTTATCCCCGACTGAGCTCATTCTCATGGGGCACTCTAGGTATAGAGAACAATGTGTACCCAGGCGTGGAGGTAGGAAAGAACACTCAGGAAGTAGGAAAGCATGTTCACAGACTGAGATGCTGAAGTGTAGGGTTGCTGAGAGTGAAATGAAATGAGGCTGGAAAATTCAGCTGAATTTGTCAAGAATCTTGTTTGCCAGGGTGACGAATTAGAATTTTATCTGATGGCATTAGCAACCACTAGATGTCTGAAGACTGGGAGGCCCATGCTCAGACTTGTTTTTTAAATGATAACTTTGGCTATAGTGTGGAGAGGGTCCTGGAGTGGGGAGAACAGGCAGTCTAGTGAGTCTCTCTCTTGTAAACAGGGTGTAGGGGATATTTTAGGAATGAATGAGAGCCATTGATGACAGGGACAGACATCGCATCCACCCTCAGCCCCTAGCCCAGTTAGAATGGGATGATCACAAGGAAATTACACAGCCATGGGTCACTTCAGACAACTATCGACAGACAAAACACCATTTTATCTTGAATCAGATATTATATTAAAATGCTCTGCACAGTTCAATGGATCCCCCCCACCAGGCTTCCTGTGCAGAACGGCCACTCTGGATGAGTCTAGACCTGGGGAGGGAGGGCTGCAGCAGTGTTTCCTGGCAGACGACCAAACAGCCTGGAGGTTGGCTTCGGTAAAGCGTGTGGCTGCACAAACAATGCCAAGAACTAAAGGTGACATCCTGTTTCCTCAGGATCCATCTCTGGCCTCTGAGCCAGAGGTTCATTCCTCAAGAGAGAAGTCAGAACAAGGGGTGTGTGAACCTTCCTTGAGAGGTGGCAAGTCTTTGTGACTGATTGGTTGGGGGAGGAAGGAGGGAGCTTGAATCCTCTTCCTCCTCATCCTCCTCAGCATCATCAAATCTAACATTTATGGAGTCTTCACTATATTCCAGGTCCTCTGAACATATATTTTTCTCACCTAATTTTCAAAGCAATCTTTGATATTGCTGAAAACTGTAGGAAACTAAGACTCAGGAGAGAGGTTAGGTAACTGGCTCAAGGCCATGCTGCTACTAAGAGGTTGAACAGGGATATGAACCCAGGTCCAAAATCAAAGCCCATGCTTTTAACCATTATGCAAAAACTGCCCCTCAAAGGATCAGAGGTTATGCTGAGGGTTCTAGCTTTGTTGAAGGAGTGGATGATGGCGGTGACTTAGGTGCAGAGGAACAAGTTCAAGGCACTGTTACCACAGAGTCCTGGGGAGAGCTTGGCCCACAAGTGACTCTGGCATTCTCTTCTTCCAATATTGTGAAGCACTGACCACATTACGTATCTCTTCCACCTCAGCTGTTTTAACACAATACTTTTTACACACAGTAAGTGAATAAATATTTTAGCTCATCTTCCTATTATATTAATTTTTTATCGTTATAATTTTTTATTTTGAAACAGTTCAAGAAGGTTAATAGTTAAGATTCACAATACTTAGGAAATAGTTTAAGAAGTTACAAAACAGTAAAGAGTTTCACTCACCCTTCACAGAGCCTGCCCCAATGATAATATCTCACATAAGCATAGGGCATTGTCAACACCACATATACCATTGCCATCAATATACCACTGCCACCAGTATACCATCATTAACTCAAGAATAAACTTTATTTGGTTTTGCCACCTTTACATGCACTTTTTTGGGTGTATAGTTCTACAAAATTTTATCCTATGTATAGATTTCGTGTGCCATGCTGCTTTTTTTAAAGCAGCTGGTGTTCTCCTCTAGGACGTGACCATCAAATTGATCAGTGGCGCTCACGTCATTTAGCAGGGAAGAGCAGTTTGGCATGATGGAAAGAACGTTGGGCTAGAAATCAGAATCCCTGGGGTGTAGTCCTGTTTCAGTCCCTGATTTGCTATGTGATGCTGGATGGGTCACTCTCTCTGGGGTCAGCGCTGAAAACATTTCTCCCACCAACCAGATCTTTCAGGGGACAGTGCCCAGAAATGAATCTGGCCTGAATTCTGGCTTCTCTATCAGGAGGCTGGTCAATTGGTCTCCGATGGGGATGACTTAATAATGCCGGCCTATGTCTCTAAACTCTTTTAGAGGCACCACCAAAGTGTTATCAGTGGGTACTTAAGGTGGGCACTACTGTCTGCTAGATGTGGGTCTTGTGCTGGCTCTGCCACTTAGGAGTGCTGTATCTTTGGACATGTTAATTAGCCATTCTGAGCCTCAGTTTCTTTATCTGTGGCTGGGGATGGTACAGTATCCACTTCATAGCACCATTGGGAGGATCAGATGAGGTAAACATGGAAGGCATCTAGCAGAATGCTGCAATAGGGTGGCTTCTCAGACAATGCTTGCTTTTTAATCATTGTCTTCATATACTTGGTTTCATGTGCAACCTATCCACTTTTAAGTAAATATCATCATCATATAACCACTTGGATCCACCCCTGTTTCTATTACACTTTCTATTACTTCCCAGTCACAGATATTCTCTTCCTCATTTGGAAAAATTCAGAAAAGTCTAAAGAGCTAAGAAATGGCCACGGTTCATTATAAAGGTAAGACATTTACTTGGCCCCTTCACCCTACTGCTCCAAGAGCACCTAGGGAAGCAGACAGAACGAACATCTGCTCCCTGACCTGCCTTTGTTTCACGTTTTTTTTTTCTTTGCTCACCATGTACTGCAGTTCAAAAGAGACATTTTTTGCCATTACAAAGGCGATTGGACAGCTTGCAGATAGTTTTTGTATTCTTCCAGTGATGTTTGCAACACGTTGTAGGAAAATTTTACATATCACGCACCATCACAGGAGAAATTGCTCAAGAACTGCCCCCGATTGTGGGCCAAAGTTAACCTAAATGAAATTTCCTAAAGGAAATGAGCAATCTGGATGACATATCTGGTGGTGAATTTCACAGGGAGGAGGCCTCTGTACATCATGGAAGGGTAGGCCAGTGCCAGGCGTGCAGATAGCGGGGCTTCTGATTCCCTAATGGGAAGCAGATGCTTCTGTGTGGCTTCAGTAAACACACCAGATAGGGTAACCTCAACTGGCT